GTCAGTTAAGAGATACATGAAAGAACTTTGTAAATTGCACAGTGCAGTAGAATTGTTAGTGGTTAGTTTATCAGGATTGAGACACTCTGGATGGAGTAGAAAGTGAGGACCCATGAGGAAGGCCTTCTCCTCTTCTCTTTGCTGTAAAGTCTGTGGAAGTTCTTCTACCTCAGGACAAGGGGGCTTTCTGCCTGGTGCAACATGTGTGGGTCAGAAAGGACATCCCCTTGTGTCACCTCAGTCCTCATTGATAGGCTTGCTAGGGGGCTTCACCTTGTCTCCGTGTTAGGGCAGAGCGCTGGTCACTATCCTTTTCGAAGGCCTGAGCTCCATTGCTAGTCTTTATGCTAATTCTGTGTGGCCTTGGGCAAGGCTGAACCGGGTTAAAGTTAAGACCTTGGGCTCTAAAGCTAGTCAGTCTAAATTTGAAGCCCAGCTCTGCTAGGAATTAATGATGAGACCTTGGATGGTCACTTAACATTTCTGTGCCTAAGTTTGCTCATCTATAAAGTAGGGATCAAAACAATACATATCACATACGATTGCTGGGTGGACTGAATCAGCTCATGTAGGCCAACTACTCAGAACAATAAATATCAGCTCTAGTTGCCTGAGGTAGATCCTACTCTGTGTGTGTGTATGCATGTGTGTGTGTTTGTGTGTGTGTGTGGTGTGTGCTGTGCCACTTTCTCTGCAGTCCCAGTTGAGAAACCATTCTAGAAATTAGAGCACAGAGCCTAAATGGGTGGTTCTCTTCTACCAGGTCTATCCTATTTCATATTTGCTCTCCATCTTGCCCTCAGGACACTTGGTTCCGGACTCTGCTGGGGGACCTGGGGGACCATATATGACAATAAGGAGAATAAAGAAGGAGGAAGGATGCTTTAGAAAATCCCCTTAAGAGACACAGAAGTTTAGAGAGTCAGGCAGTGAAGGGGTCCTGCGGTTGGGATAAGGTCCTCTTAAGTTGATTCTTATCAATTTTCTTCACAGACAAAGGAAGAAACAAGCCCAGGCATGCACAAGGTCATATCCTTCCAGTGCATTAAGTCCAATTGATTCTGTTATGTTTATATCTTTCAAAGGAGGAGAGAGTTGAAGGAAAGAAGAAGGGTCCACTGTGTCCAATATTGCTACTTCATAGCCCATGTCCTGTTTTATAACTCAATATTTATTTGTGTGGTTATTTGTTTAGTATCCCTCTCCCTTGTGCCTTCATGAGGGCTAGGATCCTGACTCTGTTATCTTCAGGCCTGGCTCATAGCCTGAGCACAGCAGGAGTATAGGCCAACCAACATACAATGGCACTGGGGAGAGGTGTCCCTCCTCCAATGCCGAGAGGCAATGTCCATGGACCTGCCATTTTCCTCACGACTCCCCCAACAAGAAAGAGGACCATCCATCAAAATGTAGATTCCACCTGGTTACACCGAGTTGCCAAGATCAAGATTTGTCCTACTGAGAAGAATGGGGGCTTGAGAGCTGAGTTATAGACAATAATATTGCTTTCAGTTTTTCCACACTCTAGATTGTGACCTGACAAATTTGAATCCAATGCACAAATCATTCCAGAGCAACACTTCCTTCCCATACCAGGAGCAATTCTCTTGGCCAGTGGAAATCGGGACAGGCTTCCCAGAAGAGGAGTCACTTGGGCTAAGAATATAAAAGATAAGGAATATCAGACTGATGGTTCTCCTTGTATCACTGAGTCCCTGACAACCCCCAACTGACTTGATATCTGAGCCTAATGCTTCCCTGAATGTTATTTGAGATTCAACGTTGACGGATTGCTAAGGAGACTGAGAAAGCAGATAAGCCACTCTGTTGATGAGGACACTGTTTCTTATACCTGTATGATTACTTTAACTTGACTCCACTGTAATTAACTATTAATTTATCTCTATCTTCAACCCAAATAGTGTCTGGGTCTTAGTTTTATATTTGTATCCTAAGCATTTAGAACAATTTTGAAAGTACATGATGAGCTCATCAGTACATAAACAAATAGATGTGAGACAAGGTGTGTGGGGTGTTCTTCCAACATACAGTGTCTTCCTTCACACATTCAGCACAACTGTTACAATGCAAGTCTCTTCATGTTAGGTATTCCCTTCTGTGGAATGAAGATACACAGAGATCATGCCTTCTATTATTTCCCTTTGCAGAGGAGGCCATTTGTATTTGATAGCACATGGTGCTGGCTACATTTTCGTCCCAAACAATAACTAGCCTACTACATTTGGGATAGATCCCAACCAGCTGAACCAGGCCCTGAGGTGAATAAGGCAGGTAGATGGTGATATTCGGCTTAGTTACAAAATCGCTGTAGCTGAGTATGCATTTTGGAGGAAGATGAACGCATATTAGTTTCCATTGAGGTTTTGTTTCCAAGAAGAAGAAAGGCTTTGTGTTTAGGTGAGAGAAGTAAGTTGTCAATAGTCATCAGACGATACTCTAGTCTTTCCTTGTTTGGATGTACTCTGTGTACCTCTCTGGTTGGGGATACACAGGAGAGATCCTACCCGACAACACCTTCAGCATCTGCCTGACTTGCATCTGTGTTGCATCTCCGCAGGGTGTTCCTGCTGAGATGAGGTGGAATCTCTGTTCTGGAAGACCCATGGGATAGCTATTGTGAGGGTCTCTATGGAAATAGGAACCAGAATTTTAACCAGTTTGCTCTTTCAGCCTTGGGTCTGACTAGTTCACATAGTGGCCCTTACCAGGAAATGGCAAACATTGGATATTGGTGTTTCAGGGCAGCAACAGCCTTTTCCGTCTCCCTTCCTATTAGCTTATTTATACTATGTTGTGATCAATTGCTGTTGGGAAGCCACTTGCCGTCACTGAGCCTCAGTTTCTACATCTGTAAACTGGGGATGGTAGTATGACTCGATTTACCAGTGCCCAGGGAAGGCACAAAAAGGACACAGAAACGTATTGGAATTCCTGGGACTTTCTACCTTACTTTTCCTGGCGATCATCTTCCAGCTTCCCATGTCTGTCCTTTGTTAGTATTCCAGCTTGCAGCCACTTCTCTCCTTAATTACCTCTCTATTGGGGTCCATTATGCCAGAGATTCCAGTGGTAATCCGTGTTCTGAGCACACTTATGTGTCTCTCTCCCTCCATTGTGATGCTTCACCTGAAGAAGGGGACTGTATGGCTTCTAGCCCACAGCCAGCAGAATACCTACACATAACATTCACCCACTTGTCCTGGGATCAATGCACGAATGAGTAGATGCATTCGTGTAGTACACTATCCAGTTGCAGCTGTGGATTTTACCAGGTACCTCCTTGAGGAAACCTTCATCCATAGATGACAAAGTTTGATAGTATAAATTTAAGGTTGCATGACAAGGTATCAAGTAAATAAAAGGAGGCTGTGAGCTAGTCTACCAATGAGACGTTCACCTACTCAGGCCAGTGACAGGGAGTCCTGGGGACTTTCGGGTCAGAGAGTTGGAAAGAGTTGGTGAGGGGAGAGTGTCACTTTCTGCAGAAGCGCTGGAGGTGAGAAAGTATAAAGAGAGAAGGAAGTGCACAAACACAGGTTAAATGTCTCTGTTTTTGGCAAGTTCAGTGTTTTGTTTTCCACACAACCCACAGTTTCTCAGGCCTGCAAACACAGAGCATGCGTCAGAGTGATGATAATGAGCTGGTGTAATTTCCACATGCTCAGCCCTTGGATATTTCCCATCAGGTTTGTGGTGGGGGGCTCACAGGTGACAATGACTGCTACTACAGGCTTTCTCCTTGCCAGCTCCTCACCACCAATTAGAAATTCCCCCACTGGTCAAAAAGCAGGAATCCATCTGCTCTGACCTCTTTGCCCTGGAGAAAAAGCCCCTGTCATCTTTTTGGAGTCCTGGTTGCTTGTGTGCTGCCTGTGGTGACATCTTTGGTGGCTAAAGTGGTTGGGGTCCACTCGGCCATCCAAGCTGCTTTCTCCTCTTCACTCCATTCACACCCATTGTTCTCGCACATTGATCTTTCCAGAGAGAGAGGGCCAGTCTTTGGTCAAGGACCTGTGTAACTGGCTGTCTACTGCAGGACCCTCTGAGGGGCTGGACAAAAAACAACATGAATTGATACCGCGTGGTGCAGCCATCACCACTTTGGCCACATCCCGCCTCTCCTTCAGGTGCCCTCTCATCAACAGAATCTTATGGATCAGCCTGAATGTGCAGTGATGGTGGTCGAGGCACAGCCGGGCCCTCCTGTGTTACTAACTATCCAGGAAGATACTGTGGTCACCAGTGAGCCCCGGGGAAAGAACATGGAGGGGGCCCAGCAATCTCACCCCTGCCAACTCAGTTCCAATGACCTTTCTGGATGCTCCCTCTGCATAAGGCACTCTCCTAGGGACTAGGGACATAATGGTGCCTAATACCCAGACTGTGCCCTTGAGAAGCTCTCAATCTGATAAGAGAACTAGGTATGGAAACGAACAATGGTGCTGGAGGGCAGAGAAGACAATAATAGAATTGGAGGAATATAGAAGATTCCCAGATGTGGAAGTGGTTACATCTGTTCAAGGAGGTTGCTGAGGAAAGACTCTAACTGAGGGGTTTCAGTCTGAGCTGGGTTGTTAAGGATGAGTAGGAGCCTTCCAGGGGGCACAGGTACATTTCTGTGCAGAGTAAAGTACATAGGGAAAGATCTGTAGACCTAGCCGGTTTGAAGGATTCCAAGTGTTTTGGAGTGCATGCAGCCATGGTGTGAAGGGCAGGTTAGAGATTGAAGGCCAGTAGCTTTGCTGAGTTTCTGTCAACTTTGGCCTTACTGGTAAAACTGAATGAGTTGTTTATGGATTTACCACAGAATATTAACTCAAAGGATGTCAAACTGGAGTGTCCATGATGCTGTGCCAAGTATCAGGGGGGAGAGGGCACCTGGAGGTGGAGCACAGGTGGCCCTTCTACTGGCTGCAGCTGCAGCACCACCCCCTTTCCCAGCACATAAACCTTTCAGCCTCACTCAATCTCCACTGGGCTGGAAGGGAAGCTCTGTACCCACAGTTTTGCAAACAGTAGCACCCACTGTTGAAAGGAAAACTCAGAGGAGACAATCTCAGAGGAAAGTGGCCATGGACCTGATCCCAAGCTTTTCCACAGAGACCTGGGTTCTCCTGGCTACCAGCCTGGTGCTCCTCTATCTGTGAGTAATTATCCATGCTCATGTCCTCTGTAACCTTGGACTTGGGGGGCTAATCAGACCCTTATCTATTTCCCTTATCTATTTTGAAGATTAAAATTGTTAACCAAGTGGAAGTTGCTTAATTTTGGGGTGCTACAAACACATGAGAGGTTATCATTGATCTGACCCAGATCCGTTGAAGGAGCAACCCCCCTCCCCTGCCAATTTCCATAGCTGGGTGGGTTTAGGGACGTTATTTGCTCCTGGGGCTGATCTTCTGATTGACCAACAGTATGGACCTAGACTAACCAACCAGAATTCAGCAGAGGCTCTTTAAAACCTACAGGCTCCTGGGCAGTGGGGTCTTCAATCCTTTCCCAAACTCTGGGGATCCTGGAGGCAGGAGGAATTGGCTTGGGTTTTTGTCCCATTATCTTCACCTTCTAGGCTCTGTGTTCACTATAAGAGACATGTAGAACGACTTACCCTCTGTCACTCAGGTGGCACCTGCTTCCCTCCCTCCTACCACCGGGCACCATGTACACAATTCTCTTGGAGCACCTAGAATTTGCTAAGGCTGGAGATTGCTCTGCCCCTCTCCTCAGACTCAGCTCATCCATCTTTGCTCTTCCCCTCTCTCTTGTATCCCCTCCTAAAAATCAATTCCCTCATGATGTAATATGCAGAACTATTTTTCCCTAAATTTTTGGAGCAGAGGAGACCTGGCAGAAATCTTTAAATTATATTATTTTCTTTCACTTTTTCCTTCCAGTCTCTGGGAGGGTTAGCATCAGTGTAGAGGTTTCTTTTCCCCCTGATATGAAATCTGCTAGCAGTCTACACAGGGACAAGCCCCAAAAGCCAATTTGGATTTTAAATAATTTTTCCTTTTAAGTTACAGTATAGGAAGATGAATCAAAACCATCCAGCAGAGGAATTCCTTTCAATGATGGGATCCTGGTATCATAGAGCAGATTGGGAGAGGTTTTATTTTCGACATTTGGGTAGGGAAGGCTCCTCCATGTCACATTTGACCACTATCTCCATTTCACTTTCTGAGAGTATGAAATCATGAACACAGATATGAACATAGGAAATATAAATCTGGTTTTAATTCATTGAAATAAATGTTAGGATATCCGAGTACTTTGGCAAATATTTTCTGACTGACCATATTTTAAAGTTAATTATGTGGTTTAATTTCATTCTATTTAATACTAGATTTTTTACTGAGATAAGTCTATTTCCAGCATGTACTTTCTGAAGAATAAAAGAGGGCTGTTGGTTCAGTATTTGTGGCTAGAAAAGTGAATAAATAACCTCATATTTGTAGAATAAATTGAGGAATATGAATCTAGGGAGCAAATATATACTTCTATGATGTGGATTGTATACGTGTTTTTAAATATCCCTGCCCAGCAGGTTCTTTTAATCTCTCAGTGCAGGTGAGTAAGGGAGACTGTGAGCCAGTGATGATATGAGAGACATCCAGGTAGGAGTCAGGATGAAGAGGAAGAATATTCCTCATCCCTCGGAGCAGAGATCATCCTCAGTCCTCGTCCCAGGACTAGGGAAGCAGGGTTAGCATCTCATCTGTTTGAAGCATGTAGATCAGGACACTATCTAAGTCATTCTGTGTGTGGTCTGTCTGGCAGTAGGATTGTCACTAGATAGTGTCACCACTGGACAAACAACACTGTAGCCTTAGAGACACTGATGCAGCCAAGAGTTAGTAGCTATAGAGTAGAAGATGCCCTCCTTATACCAATACAATGTAAACATAATAAAAAAGTTTGGCTTTATTGTTAGCACCTTCATTTGTACCAAAAGCCTCATTACTCTACTCAAAAGAGCGAGGCTGGAGGGAAAATGAAGAATTCACCCAGCCCACCCTCTGCTTTGATATGGAACCATGTGTGTTTAGACACTAGACCAGATCTTTCCTTGGGGACCAGTGTTGCTGACACATTTACTCAATTGCTTGGCATCACCTGAGAGTCCATGTAATACATTGAAAGTTCAGCAGCAGAAATTGGTTTAACTGATTTACCGTGGTTGTGATGGCAAAGGAAGGAACTGGGTGGGAGTAAATGAGGCCAATCCTGTTTCTAGCAGTCAGTGCACACACTTCTACCAACTGTTCTGGAGGAAGGATCCAAATGTCCGCCGGGGCCTTGTCGAGGTGCCTCTGCTGAATCCTTCAAATACAGGTCCTTTCATGCAATTTTTTGGTTTTATTTTATCACATATTATAATATTTGCTGGATTTATACAGAATATTTGGAACCGGTACTGCCTTAAAGGCTAACCTCCAGAGAAGAAGAGACAAGGTCTTAATTCTACTCTCCGGAACATTTTATGTTTACTTATTTAATGTTGCATTATGCATCTTTGGCTATCAACAAGAAGATACCTGAACTTTGGAAGGCCCCCTACCCTTTTGCTGAAAGCCCTTGTAGAGCATGTTGAACCATTTATACATTGCATACTTTTCAGCCATACTTTCCTAATTTGCCTCTACAGAATATGTCTTGTAAGCCTGGCAACTTCATGGTTAAAATGGTTGTCGGCAGCCGCTTTCCTCAGCCACTCTTTTCCCTCCATTCTGCCATCTCTCAGTAACACCAGAGTTGGAAGCCTGCAAGAATCCAGAACCTCTAGTTGTAGCATTCCACACATGACACATGAAAGATGAGAAAGATGACTTGCAGGCAGGCCTGCCATAGGGAACACCAGCTTAATGGGTTTCTGAGACAGCTAATGCACAGAAGCAGTAAACCAACTGCTTTGTGACTGACCATCTTGAACAATGTGTGTCCCTGGCACCGTGCTTAGCATGTGTGTATCGCAGGTTGGAGAACCGGATGCCACAACAGGAAGAACAGTCTGGAAATGGATTATTTAGTCATTGGTTCCTTTATATAGTATCATTCAGGGAACATAAGGGAACAATAACCCTTGTCTTTAGCTCAAGTCAACCAAACTGCCTGACTAAAGAGACTTGGGTTAGACTGAAAGATGCTCACATTTCTATGAGGCCAATGGAAGCCTTGAACACAGTCTTCACTCTATTGAAGTAAGAACCCTGGCTGCTCCAAGGCCTGTATGAAGACAGATTTAAGAAGGACCAAATCTTAAAATGGGGCCAGGGCATAGGGGAAGGAAAAGCGTAAAATCTTCGAGCAAAGAACAATGTCGCAGTAGGCTCTCAGTAACTCTGTTATTAAGTGGTTGTAGTTATGCAAAATCTCATTGGAGCAGAAAAAAATTTTCCCCTTTTTACCTAGAATGAGAATCTCTAAATCATGGGAAATTCACATTACTACATGGACATGAATGAATTTCCTGGAAGAATTTCGACCTGAACCTCTCAGGAGCCCTCAAGTTTGGAAACATTTATCAAATATTCACTCTAGGATTGGGACCATGGGGACTTCACCTGCTTTTAGCTACTCATCATTACTTTTTGTGCGTCTCACAGTGGAGGTGGCAAAGGAGAGGATGAGTGAATGTAATTATTGCTATTGGAGTTGCAGTTATTATTTATCGCCTCCATGTTACCTCCTTCTCTTGAGTGTTTCAGTTCTGAATCAGCGACTGGCCAGCCCCAGCACCTATTCCACAATCCTTGCAACCTTGCTCTTTCTTTCAATTTATAGATATGGCACCTATATTCATGGACTTTTTAATAAGCTGGGAATTCCTGGGCCAACACCTCTGCCTTTTTTTGGAAATGTTCTGAGCTACCATAAGGTGAGTGTTGTTTGTGCTTCCTCATTTGCTTCTCTCTCTCTCTCTTTTTTTTTTTTTTGGTGAGGAAGACTGGCCCTGAGCTAAAATCTGTTGCCAATCTTCCTCTTTTTGTATGTGAGCCACTGCCACAGAATGG